AAGTTCCTGGAAGGGGCTGGCGTTGGCACAGTGAGCTAAGCCGCCGTCTGCGACGCTGGCATCCCTTGTCCCACTGCTCTGCCTCCAAGCCAACTCCTTGTTAACACACCTGGGAAGCCAGAAGAAGATGGCCCAAATGCTTGAGCTCCTGCCACCCACATGGGAGACCACAATGTAACTACTGGCTCCTGGCTTTGGCCTGGCCCAGACCTGATTGTTGCGGCCATTTGGGGAGTGAACCAGCAGATGGAAGACCTCCCCCTGCTTCAAGTAAATAAGTCTTAAAAGAAAAAAAAATTTGGGACCAGCTCTGTGGTGTAGTGGGTTAAGCTGCTGCCTCTGGTGCTGGCATCCCATATGGGTGCTGATTTGTGTCTTAGCTGCTCCACTTCCGATCCAGCTCCCTGCTAATGTGCCTGGGAAAGAAGTGGAAGATGGCCCAAGTGCTTAGGCCCCTGCACTCACCTGGGAGACCTGGATGGAGCGCCTGGCTCCTGGCTGTAGCCTGGCCCGGTGCTGGGAAGTGAGCCAGCAGATGGAAAATCTCCGTCTCTGCCTCTCTCTTTCTCTCTCTCTGTAACTCTGCATTTCAAAATAAATTAAATAAATATTTTTCAAAAAGTTAATTGTAAGTACATATTATGAAGAAACTGTGCATGGATATTAAATGCTTTGCACCAAAATAAATTTAGCTTTTAATTCCTTTCCCACGAAATTTTTGAAGTACCTTTGTATACTGAACATATTACAACGTTTGCCAGTAGGGGGCGCCAAAAGAGAGTGGGATGTGGAGTCCCCAAAGGAATGAAATAAGTGTAAAACAGGAGGTGTCTTGTGGGGCATAGCCAGCCAGAAAGAGAGGGCTTGCGACTGACTCAACCTGGGATCCCTGGGACTTAAACAGGACGACAGGGAAGAGGTGTGAGATCATCGATCTCAAAGCTCTCTCTGCCATGAGAGCAGGTGGCCTCCAACACCCCTGTGACATGAGTAAAACCGCACAAGAGCTGCAGCAGAAAACCAGTTAGTGGCCAGCGCCGCGGCTCACTAGGCTAATCCTCCACCTTGCAGCGCCAGCACACCGGGTTCTAGTCCCGGTCGGGGCGCCAGAATCTGTCCTGGTTGTCCCTCCTCCAGGCCAGCTCTCTGCTGTGGCCAGGGAGGGCAGTGGAGGATGGCCCAGGTGCTTGGGCCCTGCACCCCATGGGAGACCAGGAAAAGCACCTGGCTCCTGGCTCCTGCCATCGGATCAGCGCGGTGCGCCGGCTGCAGCGGCCATTGGAGGGTGAACCAACGGCAAAGGAAGACCTTTCTCTCTCTCACTGTCCACTCTGCCTGTCAAAAAAAAAAAAACCAGTTAGATTTACAGGTGCAGCAGGTTAAGCTGCAGCCTGCGAGACCGGCATCCCATATCAGAGCACGGGTTCGAGTCCCAGCTGCTCTGCTCTGAGCCATCTCCCTGCTGGTGTGCAGTGGGAGACCAGGTGGAGCTCCAGGCCCCCGCTTCAGGGAGTGAACCAGCAGATGGAAGATCTCTCTCTCTCCCTCCCTCCCTCCCCCCCTCTGCCTCTCCCTCTCTCACTCTCCCTTTCAACAAATAAAATAAATCTTAAAAATAAAAATTTAGATTTAATAAAGCTGGGTGGGAAGTATGTGGATGCTTGTTACATTATCCTCTATAGTTTCTGCCTACTTGGAACATTTTATAATTTTTTAAAATTTTATAATTTTTTTAAATTAGAAGATTTTTTTAAAATTGGAAGATGTTTTCCACCGAGCAGGAGAAGATGAGGCATCTCAGAACTAAACAATGAGAGGCTGACAGCAGGACCTTCGACGCTGAGGCTAGAGGGCTAGAGAGCCGCTCATTACACAGCCCTGGCACCGCCCAGAGCGCGGGGCTGCATCCCTGGAACAGCGGATCCGAATCTCTCTGGGGCGCCTTTGGTGCACACGCCAGGATGCCCGGTCTCCTAGGACTCCCAGCCCCCCTCCCTCAGCTGGTCCTGCCTTCAGGGTTGCAAACAACCTCTTACTAAAATGAACTGAATGGAGGGAGTGGCGCAGCTGCAGCTGATCAGACCCCCAGGTCACTTATTTCCCCTACAGGTAGCACCTAGATGGTCCCTCTTACCTCGAGGGATTTTCCCAGGACTCCCAAGCCCAGAGCAGGAAGCATCCGCCAGCTGACTGAGCAAAGCCCACTCTGCCACCCCACCCCCCCAGCCCTCATAGAGCCATCAAATGAGAACCACAAGCACCGCAGACCACCCAGGGACCCAGACATGCGCTGAACACACACTTCTGAACTCCAGCTGCAATCCACGGGAGCCAGAGGCCCTCGAGGCCAGGAGACAAGCAGGAGCTGCCCAACTCCTCGCTCTGCACTCTGCAGTCAACGCCGGCTTTCTCCCACCACCTGGGCTTCAGTGTGGGCCTGCCCACCGCAGGTGGGGGCGTGGACCCGGGGAATGGGTGACTTCTTCATCGCTGTGCGGTTGCATCATTTCGTTTCCTGTCTCTGGACAGCCCACGAGCATCTCGTGTGCCTCCCTTGGAAATCGCCGCTCTACCAGTTAGCGTGTTTCTCTGAACGGCTCTACCTGCATCAGAACGGCCGGGTGGGTCACACAGAAAAGCACACACTTCTTTGCAGTGGACGGCATTATAGATTCTCACAATCTGGGCGCCCCCGCATCGCCGGGCTCCAAGTCTAGGAAGAGAAGTCTGCCCCCAGCTTTTGTCCCCAAAGGAAACCACTGCCTCTGATGTTTGTCACCCTGGGTTGGTTTTTGCCTCTTCCGGAACTTCCTGTGGCTTTTTTCATATCTTGCATGGTGTGTTTTAGGCTCTCCCTTGCACCTGCATCCATCAAGAGTTCATTTGCTTTTATTGCTGAATATTATCCATAGCCTGCAGGGGCCATACGGACGCAGCCATCTGCTGCTGGGGGGCACATGGGGTGGTTTCCAGTTTGGGGTCACTAGGAATTACACGTGGAATTTGGTGGACAGGAGCCAGCAATTCCCAGGGGCTTATGGCTGGACCACAGGGTACCCTGTGTTCATTGTTAGGGGACCCCGGCATTGTAATTACCTGAAGGAAGCAATTAGCAAGCAATCAGCACTCAAAACTTACAGTTTTTAAAAAGATGTATTTACTTATTTCAAAGGCAGACTGACAGAGAGGGAGAGACAGAGAGAAATCACTCCCCAGATGGCTGTCACGGCTGGGGCTGGGCCAGACTCAGCCAAGAGCTTGGATGTCCTGTGTGGGTAGCAAGGGCCCAGTCACTTGGGTCATCTTCTACTGCTTCCCCACGTGCATTAGCAGGGAGCTGGACCGGCAGTGGAACAGCCTGGACTCGAACCGGCACCCATATGGGATGCCGGCCACTCAAGCAGCGGCTTAACCTGCTGCATCACAGCGCTGGGCCCCAACATTTATTGTCTTGAAGACTGACTTACCTAAGAGTGAAAATTCAAGTTTGGCGTCACAGTTCCTTGGCTTCCTGTTTCTGGAGGGAAAGGATCCCTTTATGACAGGCGGCATATTAACACCCCACTGAGGACAACTTTCTGCTCTGTGGACGTCTCCTACAACTTGCAAATACAAGCAGGAAGCATTTGAACATACAAATGCATGTTTCAGATTATGAGTATTTGCATAGCCCTATTGTTCTGCAAATTTGTTAAGCTAAACTCATCAAATGTACCTGACGGTCATTATTATTTAAATTTTCTGCTTAGTGCTTTAAGATATATGTAAATCTAGAGAGAAAAAGGATCTTAAACCCAAAGCGGGTTGACTGAAAACCAAATGAACCACCTCCCTTGGTGGTTATAGCCAAGGTTAGGGCCAAGCCTACGTGTTGGCGGGGGCGTTCTGAGCTCGCGAGCGCCGGGCGGTCCCGGGGTTCTAGGGCGTCCCGGGCGAGGTCTGCGGCGCGCCCGCGGAACCACGAGGGGGCGCCACTGGGGAGAGCGCGCGGAGGCGCCCCGGCCTGCGGGTGGCCGCGGCTGTGGACTCACTTCCCTCGCTTGCCGCCGCCGCCGCCCCCGGGACAGCGGTCCGAGGAAACGCCCTCAGCAGCTGGGCAAATGTCCACGCCCAGCCGCGTGGCCTAGAAGAGGCCACCCTGGGATTTGCACCCTAGGTCTCTTAGTGTTGCGATCTGAAGCAGTGTGCACTGCCGGCTTTGTCCCTGTGTTCTGTGCTCTGGTCTCCACCGCCTGCCCTCACACGCCCGGCTCACTGGCCGTCCTGTCGCCTTCCCTTACCCCAGCCCAGCCCCGTGCTCACCGGCTGGGATCTCCCCCCACCAGGCTCCTGACCTCGGGAAGCGGGAGCCACTGCCCCTGGTCGCGCTCCGGCAAAGGAGGCAGTTCTGGGATTCTGGGCTCAGATGCGGCTCCCCGGGAAGCCCACGTGGAGGCAGAGACGCCAGGTGGGGCGCTCAGCTCTCCAACCCCACCCGGAAAGCCGTCCAGGCAGCCTGGGCCCCAGAGGCCACAGGTGCATCGGCCTGCCCGGACCATCGCACAATCAGGACTTTCAAGTCTATAAATCAACTGGGTGGCAGGGAGCTCCTAGAACTGCCCGCCCCTCCTGGCCGGCCTGCCTGGCCTCTGCTCCCCTCCCCTGACACCCTCCCCCCTTCCCTGGGGACTGGTCCAGGGAGGGGCCTGGGCCTATATAGGCAGGTGCTGTGGGAGGGGCTGGCCCAGAGCAGCTTTGGGCCAAGGAGGTGAGGAGGGGGCTCTCTCCGGGGGCTCAGAGAGGCCAGTGAGTGCTGAGTCTGGTTTCCCCTTCTGTTAAAGAGCCCACCACGAGGACTGGGGGAGGCCCGGCACACCCCTACCGCCCGCCCGGGCCCTGCAGGGAGCAGGAGCAGTCTGTGGGGTGATGGGGCAGTCCTGCTGGGGAGGGTGGGCCCTCCGTCCCCTCCGTGCCCTCCCGCACCTGCGCTGCCTCACCTCTGCTCCTGCGTCCCAGGCAGGACCATGGCTCCAGCAGCAGCAGAGGCGGAGAAGGGGTCTCCGGTGGTGGTGGGCCTGCTGGTCGTGGGCAACATCATTATTCTGGTGAGTTGCACCTCCCTCCCCCGTGCTGGGGAGGGGTGGGCCCGAGGGTCCCAGACTCCCCAGCAGGCTGGCGCTGCAGACTCTCAAGAGAGCAACCCGGGGTTCAAATCCCAGCTCCGCCTCTCCCCAGCCAAGGGACCTTATTGAGCAGCGCAACTTGTCTCTGCCCCCTTTCTCGTCTATACTCTGTCCTGGCTGTGTGCATTCCTCCACGCTTGGCCCTCAGCCGAGGGACAGCGCCGGGCACAAGCCGGCCATCATCATCGATATCACCGAGGACGTGAAGTGACCGCTTGGGGCACAGATGCCCATGATAATAACAACAATGTCATTAATGAATGTCGATGCTTTAAAAAAAAAAAAAATTATGCCTGCACATGGCTTTGGAGCCAGGCTGCCCGAGTTCAAATCCCGGCTCTGCCACTTTCTAGCTGTGGGTCCTGGGGCCAATGGTAGAACTTCCTGGGCCTCGGTTTTCCCTTGGGTAAGCTGGAGTGGAGTTAGCAGCGCTGTGAGGAGAGAGTCGCTGGATTCCTTTGTTTTGGGTCATGTTGGTGTTTGTGGTTGCCACTGGCCAGAGCAACGGCACCCTACGGCGGGGAACAAAAAACGAGTCCCCCATAAAGCAGCTACCGTGAGCATGTGCGAGGGGCCAGCTTTTACTGTTTGTTTGTTTGTTTAAATAATTTATTTTTATTTATTTGAAAGGCAGAGTGACAGAGGGGGAAAGACAGAGAGAGAAAGATATGTTCCATCGTGGTTTCACTCTCCAAATGGCCACCATTAACAAGGGCTGGGCCAGATGGAAACTGGGAGCCAGGGACTCCATCCCGGTCTCCCACATGGGTGGCAGGGGCCCGAAGCCCTAGGGCCATGCTCTGCAGCTTTCCCCAGCGCGACAGCAGGGGGCTGGATCGGAGGCGGAGCAGCTGGCCAGGGAGAGCCCTCTGGCTGCATGGGGGCATCCTGCCGCTGCCGGAGCCATCCCTTAGTGACGGGCTGCGTGAGCGGGCCCATCTGTGGGACTGGTACGCCAGGGGAAAGGCCAGGCCACAGGGCCGCTGCCTTTGTAATTTTCATGTTCATGGCCCAAGTTCCCCTCTTTGAGAAGTAGCAACGCTGCTAGAGCGCCTGAAAAAAGGTCGTGGAAAATGCGTGCGTGGATTTCAACTCTTGCAGCAAAATAAGCTTATATATATTTTTAAAAAGTGTATATATTTTTTATTTGACAGAGTTAGACAGTGAGAGAGAAAGGTCTTCCTTCCGTTGATTTACCCCCCCCCCCAAAATGGCCGCTATGCCGATCTGAAGCCAGGAGCCAGGTGCTTCTCCTGGTCTCCCATGGGGTGCAGGGCCCAAGCACCTGAGCCATCCTCCACTACCCTCCCTGGCCACAGCAGAGAGCTGGACTGGAAGAGGAGCAACTGGGACTAGAACCCAGTGCCCATATGGGATGCCGGCCCAAAAAGTATATTTATATATTTATTTTATTTGAAAGGCAGAGAGATCTCTCATTGCTGGTTCACTCCCCAGACAGCCAGGGTCGGGCCAGGCCAAAGGCAGGACAGAGCCTGGGACTCCATCCGGGTGTCCCAGGTGGGTGGATGACAGGACCCCAGGTGGTTGAGCCATCACTGCCTCCTGGGGTGGGCATGAGCAGGAACCCGGAGTGGAGAGTGGAGCTGGGACCAGAACCCAGCACTCTGGATTGGGATGTGGGTGTCCCAAGCCTGTCTTAACTCCTGCGCCAAACACCTGTCCCTCACCTTACCTCCTCACTCCACGTCTCCCCAGACCTCTGCAGTCTGCTCACACTAAGGGAAGGCAGGCTGATGCACCAGCGCCAGGCTTTGTTTGCTCTCCCCTGGGATGGCTCTCGCTGGGCCCTCCCTTCCCTCCTGGCCTCTGCCCCAGCCGCAGCCCTGCTGTGTGCCCACTTTGCAGAGAGGCCAGGGGAGGCTCAGAGTGGGGAAGGGACTTGCTCGCGGAGACCCCCGGAGCCGTGAGCCCGCTCCCTGCCCCGCTGCCCTGTGTGTCCAGCTGTCAGGCCTGGCCCTGTTCGCCGAGACCGTGTGGGTGACTGCTGACCAGTACCGCGTGTACCCGCTGATGGGTGTCTCCGGCAAGGACGATGTCTTCGCGGGTGCCTGGATCGCCATCTTCTGCGGCTTCTCCTTCTTCGTGGTGGCCAGCTTCGGTGTGGGCGCCGCTCTGTGCCGCAGCCGCTCCATGATCCTCACGGTGAGGCACCCCAGGGCATGCGTGGGTGCGTGGGGTGGGGGGGCCGGGCGAGCATCATCGTGACTCTACTTGACAGAAATGGAAAGTGAGGCTCAGAGGGGTGAATTCACTTACCCAAAGTCACACAGCAAGTGAGTGGCAGAACCAGTCTGAACCTGAGCAGCAACAGATCCGAGTCAGCTCCTGTTCTCTGCCGGCAATAACCGACACTTCCCACGGGCCGGCACTAGGGTGGGCAACTTTGAAAATGAGTTCCTGTGGGTGGCGCCACGGCTCACTAGGCTAATCCTCCACCTTGCGGCGCCAGCACACCGGGTTCTAGTCCGTCAGGGCGCCGGATTCTGTCCCGGTTGCCCCTCTTCCAGGCCAGCTCTCTGCTGTGGCCCGGGAGTGCAGTGGAGGATGGCCCAGGTGCTTGGGCCCTGCACCCCATGGGGAGACCAGGAGAAGTACCTGGCTCCTGCCATTGGATCAGCATGGTGCGCCAGCCACAGCGCGCCAGCCACAGCGGCCATTGGAGGGTGAACCTATGGCAAAGGAAGACCTTTCTCTCTCTCTCTCTCACTGTCCACTCTGCCTGTCAAGAAAAAAAAAAAAAAAAAGAAAAGAAAAAAGAAAAGAAAATGAGTTCCCGTGATCTCTCCAGAAGTTAGTGCTTTTCAACCCACTTGCTAGAGGGGGAAACTGAGGTTGAACAGGCCCACAGCCTCTGTGAGGTGACTGGGAGAGCCGGGAGTCCCACCCAGGCCCCCTGCACCGGGCATCCTCTACAGGGGGGTCCTTCCGGTTCCAGGGAGCAGGGCTTATTCTACCAGCTCAGGGTTACTGAGCAGGAAGCAGGTGCACAGCCCTGGGCCGGGCACTGGGGCGAGGGGGTAAGCAAAGTCCTAGAAGGAGGGGGGTTCACAGTGCAGGGGAAGGAGGCCAGGAGCAGGGAAGGGCAAGGGAAGGCCTCACAGCCAGGGCGAGTGTGAGAGGGGCAGGAGGTGAGGGAGGGGTAGGGAGGGGAGAGGAGAGGAGGGAGGGGAGGGGGATAGGAGGGGGGAGGGGAGAGGGGGAGGAAGGGAGAGGGAAGGAGGGTGCCTGGGGGTTGGGGGAGGCAGGGAAGGGGGTGACCGGGTGGCTTTGGCGCTCTCCTGAGAAGGATGGAGCTGAGGAACAGCCTCCCTCCCTCCCTCTCCCCCTCCTTCCCTCCCCCTCCCCTCCCTCCCCCCTCTTCTTTCCTTCCTTCTTTTTTCTCTGGCAGAACATTTTAACCAAAGCCCTAGATGTTTACTCAATTATTATTTTTTATGTGTCTGTCTCCTCTCTATTAGTTTTTCATTAACTAAGAGATAGGATTTTTAAGAATGTGCTAAGGGAAGATCGGAGCGTAGATCGGTGGCATTTCAAGCCCAGTGTACCTGCGTCCTGGTTTCGTGGGGACGGCCCGGGCTGGCCTCTACTTCATGCCCGCCCGCACTGTTCCTTCCTGGGCTGCACATGGCTCTGAGTGACAAGGACATGGCTGTACAACAGCTGGGCGTGTCTAAGGATGAGGGTGAGGACGGGAAAGGCATTTTCACCCAACACCGAGGCTTGAGCCCCTCTGGCTTGTTTGGCCCCCACGCCATCGGCACACCCCACAGAACTCACTCCTTCCTTCGCGTCCGCCAGCACCCAGCCCCAGCCCAAGGTTCCTGGCTGTCTGGAGAAATGTCTCGAGTCATTTTTAAAGGTTATTTATTTATTTGAAAGGCAGAGTTACAGAGAGGCAGAGACAGAGAGAGAGAGAGGTGTTCCATCTGCTGGTGCACTCCCTGGTTGGTTGAGAAGGCTGGGGCTGGACTAAGCCAAAGTCAGGAGCCTGGAACTCCCTCTGGGTCTCCCACATGGGTGCAGGAGCCCAAGCACACGGGCCATCATTCACTGCTTTCCCAGGCGCAGTAGCAGGGAGCTGGATCACACGTTGAGCATCCGGGACTCGAACCAGCACTCTGACATGGGATGCCAGAGTCACAGGTGGCAGCTTAACCCACTGCACCACAGTGCCAGCCCCTGTTCTGTACTGCCCGTTGATTGATCCCTCAAGGGGCTGTGAGGTCACTGGCTCCCCCTGACCGGTGTCCCCGTCCCCCGGTGTCTCCCCAGTACCTGGTGCTCATGCTCATCGTCTACATCTTCGAGTGCGCCTCCTGCATCACCTCCTACACCCACCGGGACTACGTGAGCCGGGCGGAGCAGGGGCGGGGCGGGGGGCGTGGCCCGGGGGTGGGGGCAGCGGGGCAGGGGGAGGGGCGAGGTCGACCTTCGGCCTCTGCTGGCCCCTGCAGATGGTGTCCAACCCGTCGCTGATCACCAAGCAGATGCTGACCTTCTACAGTGCCGACACGGACCAGGGCCGGGAGCTGACCCGTCTCTGGGACCGCATCATGATTGAGGTGGGTGAGGGCCAGCGGGTGGCTGCGAGGGCCTGGGGCTCTGCCCACAGGCGTAGCAGCACCCCCAGCGTGCCCACGGAAGATGAGTGAGTGCTTCTTAAACACATTTTTTAAAACATTTATTTATGTTGTTATTTGGCTGAGAGTCAGAAAGCCAGAGAGGTCTTCCATCCACTGATCGCTCTCCAGTGCTCAGAACAGCTGGTGCTGGGCCAAGCAAGGAGGCAGAGACCCTACCTCTGGAGCCATCACCTGCTGCCCCCGCCCCACCGATGCACACTGGCAGGCAGGCAGGCACCTGGCACTGGGAGGTCCTGAGCTGCATCTCATCTGTGAGGCCAAATGCCTGCCCCCAGTGGGTTGCCAGGGCTGGCGCTGTGGCACTGTGTGTTAAGCCGCCACCTGCAGTGCTGGCATCCCATGTGGGTGCTGGTTCAAGTCCCGGCTGCTCCACTTCTGATGCAGCTCCTTGCTAATGCACCTGGGAAGATGGCCCAAGTGCTTGGGCCCCTGGACCCTCGTGGGAGACCCAGAGGAATCTCCTGGCTCCTGGTTTCGGCCTGGCCCAGCCCTGGCCTTTGTGGCCATTTGGTGGGGCCTCTCCCTCTTTCTGTAACTCTGCCTTTCAAATAAATAATTTTTTTTTTAAGAAAAGCACTCATATGAGCCCTACAAGGGCAGGGCTTTGGTCATCGCCATTGTCCAGGTGAATAAGTGGCGCCAGAAGGGACAGTCACTTGCTGGGGCTGGCACAGCTGGCAGTTGACAGAGCTGCTGTTTGATTCTGGCTGCCTGGATTTGGGACCCTGCTCTTAGCCAATCCGCGTGCTGCTCATTAGTGAGAACAACAACGGTAATCATAGCAACCATTTCCAGAGCACGACTTTTGGTTTAGCGTTGTTCAAAGCACTTGGGAAGCGCATGTAGGCCGGCGCCGCGGCTCACTAGGCTAATCCTCCACCGGGTTCTAGTCCCGGTCGGGGCGCCGGATTCTGTCCCAGTTGCTCCTCTTCCAGTCCAGCTCTTTGTTGAGGCCCGGGAAGGCAGTGGAGGATGGCCCAGGTGCTTGGGCCCTGCACCCCATGGGAGACCAGGAGAAGTACCCGGCTCCTGCCATCAGTTTAGCGTGGTGTGCGGGCTGCAGCACTCCGGCTGCGGCGGCTGTTGGAGGGTGAACCAACAGCAAAAGGAAGACCTTTCTCTCTGTCTCTCTCTTGCGCTGTCCACTCTGCCTGTCAAAAAATATATATATATTTATTTATTTGAAAGTCAGAGTTACACAGAGAAAGGACACTCCCCAGACAGCCGCAATGGCCGGAGCTGTGCCGATCCAAAGCTAGGAGCCAGGAGCTTCTTTCGGGTCTTCCACGTGGGTGCAGGGGCCCAAGGACTTGGGCCATCTTCTACTGCTTTCACAGGCCATAGCAGAGAGCTGGATGAGAAGAGGAGCAGCCGGAACTAGAACCAGCGCCCATATGGGACGCCAGCGCATCAGGCCGGGGCGTTAACCCGCTGCGCCACAGTGCCGGCCCCAGCTGCTCCACTTCTGATACAGATCCTTGCTAACGTGCCTGTGAAAGCAGCGGAAGATGGCCCAAGTGCTTGAGCCCCTGCCATCCATGTGGGAGACCCAAATGGCTTCCCAGGCTCCTGGCTTCAGCCTGGCCAAGTCCTGGCTGTTGCAGACTTTTGGGGAGTGAATCACAGATGGCAAGTCTTGCTCCCTCCCTCTCTGTGTCACTCTGCCTTTCAAATACATACATTAAGTAAAAAATAAATAAATAAATAAAACTTACATAACCCTCACAACCACCGCGTAAGGAAGCCGGCAGAGGTCACACAAGGGCAGGGGACACAAAGCTACAGGTTCAAGCCCAGGTGCCAGGTTCCACCATATACTCTTTTTTTAAAGGATCCATTTATTTACTTTTATTAACTTACCTTTAAATATTTAGTTAATTGAAAGTCAGAGTTACAGAAAGAGGGGAAGACAGAGAGAGAGAGAGAGAGAGAGATCTTCCATTCACTGGTTTGCTCCCCACATGGCCACAACAGCCAGATCTGAGCCAGGCTGTAGTCAAGAGTCTGGAACGCCATCTGGGTCCCCTGTGAGTGTGGCAGGGGCCCAAACACTTGGGCCAAACTCTGCTGCCTTCCCAGATGTGTTGGCAGGGAGCTGGATTGGAAGTGGAGCAGCTGGGACTCGAACTGGCGCCCCTATATGGCGTGCTGGTGTACCAAGTGATGGTGGCTTCCCCTGCTGTACCATCATGCCGGCCCCCAGAGTGGAGCTCTTAATTAGACCCCAGAGGATGTTGCATCAGAAGAGACAAAGAACTGAGTAGCCAGGGGAAACTGAGGTCCCCACTTGGCCAGGATTAGAGCCCTTGTTTGGTGGATTTGGAGGCCACCAATTAAACACCTTCTGGCGCCAGGAAAAGCCAGAAAATTGCTATTGAGTCAGATTCCCCACCTGCCTCCTATCCCTGGGAGAAATCTCGCCTCGTCATTGCTGGCCCACACGCAGCCAGGCGAGGGGGAAGTCGGGCCCATCTGTGGGGGCAGGGGGCAGCCCTCTCTCTCCCTGCCATATGCCGTGTGGCCAACAGCTGTGCGCCCTGAGCCCATGCCTGCCTGACCCTCCCCACCCCCAGCAAGAATGCTGCGGCACTTCCGGGCCCATGGACTGGGTGAACTACACATCAGCCTTCCGGGCGGCCACTCCAGAGCTGGTGTTCCCCTGGCCCCCGCTGTGCTGTCGCCGGACTGGAAACTTCATTCCCGTCAACGAAGAGGGCTGCCGCCTGGGCCACGTGGATTACTTGTTCATCAAGGTGCGTCCTCTCCCGCCGCTGCACCTGCACCTGTCTGCCCACCTGGCCGTCCTTCTCCAATCTCAGCTCGCTCTCTGCTTCTTCCTCCTGTGCCACCCAGCTCCCTCCTTCTCTCTCTCTCCTCTCTCTCCTCTCTCTCTCTCCGCTCTCCCCCTCCAACTCTCTCTGCAAACCAGTGAGATGCTCACAGGGTCTGTCTGGCCACTACCTGGCACCTGCAGCTTTTCTCAGGTTATCTGGGAATACGAGAAAACAGTGCTAACAGCAGCCCAACCAATAACAAGTGCTATTCAGTGAGCCTCTCCGTGCCATAAGTCGTCGTTGTTATTTAATCCTCACCACCACCTGACAAGGAAAAGGTTATGATTACCCAATCTTTCTTTTTTGAAATGATTTGTTTATTCATTTGAGGGGCAGAGTCACAGGCAGAGAAGTTTTCCACCTGCTGGTTCACTTCCCAAATAGCTACAACAGCTGGAACTGGGCCGATCCAACGCCAGGAGCTTCTTCCAGATCTCCCACAGGGGTGCAGGGGCCCAAGGGCTTGGACCATCTTCTACTGCTTCCCCAGGCCATTAGCAGGGAGCAAGACTGGAAGTGGAGCAGCTGGGACTAGAACCGGCGTCCATATGTGATGTTGGCGCTGCAGGAGGTTTTACCCGTTACGCCACAGCGCCGGCCTTGATTACCCCATTTTTCAGATGATAAAAGGAAGAGGTATGGCCGGTGCCGCGGCTCAATAGGCTAATCCTCCACCTAGCGGCACCGGCACACCAGGTTCTAGTCCCGGTCGGGGCACCGGATTCTTTTCCGGTTGCCCCTCTTCCAGGCCAGCTCTCTGCTGTGGCCCGGGAGTGCAGTGGAGGATGGCCCAAGTGCTTGGGCCCTGCACCCCATGGGAGACCAGGAGAAGCACCTGGCTCCTGGCTTTGGATCAGCGTAGTGTGCCAGCCACAGCGCGCTAGCGGTGGCGGCCTTTGGAGGGTGAACCAACGGCAAAAGGAAGACCTTTCTCTCTGTCTCTCTCTCTCACTATCCACTCTGCCTGTTAAAAAAAAAAAAAAAAAAAAAAAAAAAATCACACACACACACACACACACACACAGGAAGAGGTCGCCTACCAGTAAGGGAAAGAGCTAGGAGTCCACGACCTCACATACCTCACATGGTCAGGCCCAGTGAGTGAGGGTCGTTAATTACAGCAAGGCAAGTGCAGAGGCAGCGACAGAAGCCAGAAGCTGAGACTAAGAGAAGAACCGGCCTCCGTGGTCCCGCCAGCTGCTTATAGCTGCCGGGGTATCCTGCCGAGGCGCATCTCAAATCAGGTGTCACAGCGAGGGCAGCCCGTGTGCAAAGCACGCCCACGATGGCCACAGGACGGTGACTGCTGAGCCCCGCTCTGCACGGAGCTTCCCTGCCGTATCTCTCGGGGGCTCTGGCACTGCTCTCAAAGGCAGTGCTATCAAGATCTCCACTTCTCAGAGGCGAACACTGAGGCCCAGAGGGTTGGGATCATCCCTCGGCCCTAAAGGGGAGACACGGCAGAGCTGGGCTCCCAACCTGGGCCTGTCTGACTCCAGGGCACACACCCTGACCCTCTGTCGGCGCTGCTCCCAGGCCAGGAGTCTCTGGCATCAGGCTCAGCCACACTCCAGCTCATCTCCAAATTCGGAGGTGCCAGACTAGACAAATCCTCACAGCGTGACTCGTGGGCAACATGGGAAGCTGGCTCAAATCATAGTCACCCTGACGGTCAGAGCCCCCATCGGGGCAGCTCCTCCTTGCACTGGTCCTGGGCTCCCCCTTGCCCAGGTGAGAAAACCAAGGCAGGAAGTGACTTCCCCAGGGGCGCACAGTGGCTCCTGCCCTCGGCTGCCAGCCTGCCCAGGCATCATTCAGACCCTCTCTGTCCCCTGCCCAGGGCTGCTTCGAGCACATCGGCCATGCCATTGACAGCTACACGTGGGGCATCTCATGGTTTGGGTTTGCCATCCTGATGTGGACGGTGAGCGGCGGGAGCCCCTGGGCGGAGTGGGTCTGGGCGTGCGGCTGGGGAGCCGCCTCTCACTGCCTCCTCTCGCAGCTCCCGGTGATGCTGATAGCCATGTACTTCTACACGACGCTCTGAGGACGGGAAGGAGAGGCCCCGTGCGCACCAGGGCCTCCTCTGCAGGGGCCTGGACAGTCGTCACTCTGCTGTCCCCAGCATCTTCCTGTGCAGAACTGAGCATGGAGCAGATGTTCAATAAACACCGGTTGACTGACGGAATGAAGTTGTTTTCTCTGGGGTGAGGGTGAATGAAAAATAAGTCTTCTGGGGGCCGGCGCTGTGGTGTAGCGGGTACAGCTGCTGCCTGCAGTGCCGGCATCCCATAGGGGCGCCAGTTCAAGTCCCAGCTGCTCCACTTCCGATCCAGCTCTCTGCTGTGGCCTGGGAAAGCAGTACAAGATGGCCCAAGTCCTTGGACACCTGCACGTGTGTGGGAGACCTGGAAGAAGCTGCAGGCTCCTGGCTTCAGATCAGTGCAGCTCTGGCCGTTGCAGCCAACTGGGGAGTGAACCAGCGGATGGAAGACCTCTCTCTCTCTCTCTTGCTGCCTCTGCTTCTCTTTCTGTGTAACTCTGACTTCCAAATAAATATATAAATCTTTTTTTTTTTAAAGTCTTTTGGCAGAAATCCAGCTGGCTCTCTGGAAAACAGAAAATGAAATTTGTGGGGCCAGCATTGTGGCGCTGTAGGTTAATCCTCCGCCTGCAGCACCGGCCTCCCTTATGGGCGCAGGTTGAGTCCTGGCTGCTCCTCTTCTGATCCAGCTCCCTGCTGGTGGTCTGAGAAGGGCAGTGGAGGATGCGGAAGTCCTTAGATCCCTGCTACCCACGGGGGAGACCTGGAAGAAACTCCTGGCTCCTGGCTTCAGCCTGGCCCTGCCCCAGCTGTTGCGGCCATCTGGGGGGAGTGCCAGCCCCTGGACTTGCATCTTTATAGCTGAGAAACACAGCAGTGGGAAGGGGCCTCTTCCCTCCCCTCCTCTTCAGTCCAGGTCAGGAGTTGAACCTCGCTTGCCCGGGTCAGGGTCCAGGCTCACCCTTTGGCTAAGGCAAGGCTGATGCAGCCAGTGGCGCTGCTGGGGAGGGGCAGGGCTGTTGAGATGGTAGCCGGGATGCACTTCCTCCCCCTGGGGGCTGGAGCTTCCAGCAAGGTCTCCAAGGTAGCAGAGAGTGTAAGGACTGCGTTTGCCCTCTCTGAACAGGTCCTCCTCTGGCTACAATGCAGCCATCAGGCCTCACCAGGGGAGTCTGGCTACCCTCCTGATCAAATGAGGTTTCTCTGGGTCCCGGTGTACTTAGGGTCCGCAAGTGCCTGGGGCACGTGGGAGATCAGATTGAGTTACTGGCGCCTGGCTGGCTGGTGGCCCAGACCCGCCTACTGCAGGCGTCTGGGGGAGTGGTCCAGCACGCGGGCGCTGTCCATCAGTCCATTCCTTCCCTCTCTCTCAAGTACATAAAATAGACAAATGTTTTAAAGTAAAAATATGCTTTTTTAAATATTTTTTTATTTGAAAGACAATTACAGAGACAGGTAGAGACAGGCAGAGAGAGAAAAGTCTTCCATCTGCTGGTTCAGTCCCCAAATGGCTGCAAAGGCCAGAGCTGAGCCGATCCCAAGCCAGGAGCTTTTTACGGGTCTCCCTTGTGGGTGCAGGGGCCCAAGGACTTGAGCCATCCTCTGCTGCTTTCCCAGGTGCGTTAGCAGGGAGCTGGTTCTGGAGTAGAGCAGCCGAGACTTGAACCAGTGCCTATGTGGGATGCCGGCACCACAAGCTGGGGCTTTAAACCCGCTGCTCCAGAGCACCAGCCCCAAAAATATACTTTTAAAAATCTGTAACGAGGGACGGGCATTGTAGCACAGCAGGTTAAGCTGCCACTTGGGTCACCTGCGTCCCATTTTGGAGCACCTGGGATCAAGTTCTGCCTCCATCTTCAGTCCAGCTTCCTGCAAACGCACTGACCAGGCAGCAGAGGGTGGCCCAAGTGCTTGGATTCCTGCTACCCACATGGGAGACTCGGATGGCGTCCCTGGCTCATGGCTTTGGCCTGGCCCAGCCCTGGCTGTTGTGGACATTTGGGGAATGACATCAGATAGATCTTCCTCTTTCTCTCCATCTCTCTTTGTAATTCTAACTTTCAAATAAATCAAAATTTAAGACTGTATGGTCAAAGAGGTCATTATCTATTAAGGTGAAAAGTTGGAAACAACCTAACATCTGCCTGTAGTATGGGTTGGACAACTCATGTTGCATCCTTGGATTGGAATTCTCCATGGCTGTGTGAAAGAGCTAGCTGGGGGCCGGCGCTGTGGCTCCGTGGGTTAAAGCCCTGGCCTGCAGCACCAGCATCCCATATGAGTGCAGATTCGAGTCCCGGCTGCTCCACTTCTGATCCAGCTCCTTGCTGATGGACCTAGGAAATCAGCGGAGGATAGACCAAGTCCTTGGGCCCCTGCACCCACGTGGGAGACCCAGAGGAGGCTCCTGGCTCCTGGCTTAGGATCCACTCAGCTCTGGCCATTGTGGCCATTTGGGGAGTGAACCAGTGAATGGAGATCTCTCTCTCTATTTCTATCTATCTCTGTAACTATATTTCAAATAAATAAAATACACCTTTAAAAAAAAAGAGCTAGCTCTATGTGAAGAGACATAAAAGATGTCATGATGATGTAAATCACTGGGAGACACAGGAAAGGATGTGCACGGCAGGAACTTGAACACCCTTCAGCAGAGGACTCTACCCGTCCTCCAGAAGCCACACAGTAATAAAAGATAATGCATGGGACTTCTGTGCTTTATTTTTATTTATTTATTTGAAAGGTTACAGAGAATTACAGAAAGAAGGAGAGACAGAAAAAGAGAGAGAGAGGTCTTCCATCTGCTGGTTCACTCCCCCAGATGGCTGCGATGGCTGGGGCTGGGCCAGACCGAATCCAGGAGCCAGGAGCTTCTTTCAGGTCTCCCACGTGGGTGCAGGGGTCCATGCACTTGGGCCATTTTCCACTGCTTTCTCAGGTGCCTGAGCAGGGAGCTGGATTGGAAATGGAGCTCCGAGACTTGAACCAGTGCCCATATGAAAAGCCGGTGGTGCAGGTGGCAGCTTAACCCACTGTGCCATTATGCCAACTCCAACGGATGAAATTCCTGTGTTTTAATGTGGAAAAACCTTTAAGAGGTAGAGTAGGAAATATAGCAAACTACATGTTGTGCTCTCATTCCTGTAAATACATACATGTGCAGGGTGGGTCAAACACATACACATGCAGGGTTGGTCAAACAGTGACCGAGGCTGGGCCAGGCTGAAGCCAGGAGCTTCCTCTGGGTCTCCCATGTCAGTGCAGGGGCCCAAGCACTTGGGCCTCTTCTACTGCTTTCCCAGGCGCAATAGCAGGGAGCTGGATCAGAGATGGAGCAGCCAGGACTCAAATCTGCCCTTGGATGTGGGATGCCAGCATGCAAGTGGGCGGCTTAACCCCCACAGGGCCCGGAAACAGTAGACTTTCTGTCGTGGATCAAAGATGTTCTCAGTCATGTGTAACCGGAACCAAATGCAGGCGGCTGGTGCTGCCACCGTCCAGTGAAGCGCCATTTCCAATCTCTGAGTTCCACCCATCCTTGACCTCTGGAAGTTGATTCGCCAAAATGACTCAGGTATGTGACTTAGGAAAGTCCAGCATCCTGGAAAATGCTTGGAGCTCTCACTGGGAGATGCTTAACCTACGGCCACGGGCCCACCATGCATTAGAGTTACCATGATGTTTTTGGTTGAGGGTCTTTAAAGAATGTCGTAGAGTTAATGCAGATCAATAAGCATAAAATCCATTTTTCTGGAGCCATCACTGTGACACAGTGGGTTAAGCCATCACCCGTGATGCCAGCATCCCATATGGGTGTCGGTTCAAGTCCTGGCTGTTCCACTTCCGATCCAGCTCTCTGCTATGGCCTGGGAAAGCGGCAGAAGATGGCCTAAATGCTTAGGCCCCTGCACATGTGTGGGAGACCCAGGTGGAATTCTGGGCTGCTGGCTTCAGCCTGGCTCAGCCTTGGCCTTTGTGGCCATTTAGGGAGTGAAACAGCGCGTGGAAGATCTCCTTCACTCTCAGTAATTCTACCTTTCAAATAATACATAAATAAATATTTTTTGGGAAAAAAAGTTTTTCCCTTAAAAATCACATGGCAAATGATATCTAACCGTATGGAAAAATACTTGAGAAACTATGAGGTGAGAGAAGCATTTTCCAGGAAAGCGTGCTAAATATGAGTCCTTCTCTGATAAGGTCACAAAGATGTGCAAGTCTGCATTACAATGAAAAGAAAACAAACTCTCCCAAAGGTTAACCTTGGTTATTAAGGAAAATGAGACACTTGCATTCCTGGAGGATTTTAGTATTTCCCAAATATTCTTTTTTAAAGTTTTATTTATTTATTTGAAAGGCAGAATTACAGAGAGGCAGAGGCAGAGAGAGAGGTCTTCCATCCGCTGGTTCACTCCCCAAATGGCCACAATGGCTGGAGCTATGCCAATCCAAAGCCAGGAGCCAGGAGCCTCCTCTGGATCTCCCACATGGGTGCAGGGGCCCAAAGTCTTGGGCCATCTTCTACTGCTTCCCCAGGCCATAGCAGAGAGCTGGATCAGAAGTGGAGCAGCCGGGACTCAAATTGGCGCCCATATGGAATGCCAGCAGTACAGGCAGTGGCTTTACCTGCTATGCCACAGTGCCAGCCCCCCAAATATTCCATGATAATAATTACTTTTGTCCTGCAACAACAACAGAACCCATAAAAGAAGTGTTAATTCAAACACCACTGCTGCAGGTGGCATATCCGTTGAGAGGATAATTATTCTGCCGAACGTCTGAGCAGTTAGGAGAAGCCAGGCCTTGCCAGAAGTGGGGCCGAACTGGCCTCTGAGCAGTCAGGCAGGCTCCATCCGTGTCCCAGGGCTGCCCCAGCCCTCTCCGGCTCTGTGTGGCCGCATACCTGCAGAGCGTGGCTCAGCCGGACTGGCAGCAGTGTGGCTTGACCAACACAGGCCTCAGCTGGCAGGACAGGTTCCTCTGCCCCCGGCCCCTCGCTCAGAGGCCAGCTTCTGTAGGTGAGAGGGGAGCAAGGAGATGAGGGCCAGGCCAGGGCCAAGACTGCTGAGGCAAGAGCAGCCATTCGGTGGCAGCTGCTACCGCACCCCTACGTGATCACAGCCCTTGTTGGCTTCTGACCCTCCAGTGCCCCAGCACCCAGTCCGGCTCCTTGCCTGGCACTGAGGGCTGGCCCCTTTCTATCTCTCCTGGCTCTCTCCCTCTCCTGCCCCACTGAGCCGAGCTCTCCCTCCCCGCCTGAGGTCACAGAATGGAAAGGAGGAACTGTAATGTTAAACAGCCATCAAACAAGGCAGCCGCCTCTGACTGTATCCACTTTTCTCACCCTTCGTCCATGAAGGCAAGCTGATTTTTGGTGTGGTGGAGAACGCCACAGTCTACAGTGCTGGTGTCCCATGTGGGCATTAGCTCAA